AAAACTCACCCTGTATAGTTTTAATATATATCTCACAGGAAAAAGGTTAATCCAGATCCATTTCAACTGATTTTTGAGAGGAGAAAAGATTATTTGTTTTTTTTTCATTTTAAATAGGGAATATCTTCGTCCTCCTTTTATTTTGGGATGATACAGAAATGAGATGTACGAACCGAAGAGTTGTTGAAGTAATTAAGAAATTTAGATCGATTTTCACATTCTTTTTTTCGGCATTTTCTTTAAAAAAGAAGTGCATACGTTAATTAAAAAAAAATTCACACAAGGCTAGTGGCCTCTTATGATTTGCTTATAGATATACATTCCAAACAAATAATGAAAACACTTAATAGTGAATTACCGAAAAAATTATTCAAATCTTTGTTACGGTATTATTTGATTACAAAAAATAATTATTCTTATGTTTCACAATAATTGGTGCCGAATTTATTATTTAAAAAATATATATCGATATAATTAATTCAAGTTTTCTATTATTTAAATAAATAAATTCAGAATATAATTGCAACATTGTAACACGAAGAACAAAGCACGTGCTAATATGCAACTCAGACTGAAGAATGCGAAAAATTAGGTTTTGAGAAAATGAAAAAATTTTCTTCTCTAATAACAATTATTTTTTATATTACCGGTATATTAATTCTTATTTACAGGATTAAAGAGATTAAGAATATCTACCTTTGTTTAAACAAAGATTATTAATAAAGTTCTCGAGAAATTAATTTGGGATGAATTTGAGATTTGGGCGCGGACAAATTCAAATAGTAAGTTGGGATTTTGCCAACATATACTCAAACGCGGTAATGCACAACATTTACAAAAATTCATTTTTGAGAAATTTTTCTGTTTTTTTTAAATAAACAAGTTTTTTTATAATTACATTGCCGGGAATAATGATATTAAAGTTTTCTTCCGCAAGCCAAAAAAACTTCATAAGAAAATAAAACTCATTTAGAAACTAATAACATGAAGTACTAAAAATTATTTAGAAACTAATAACATGAAGTACTAAAAATTATTTAGAAAATAATAACATAAAGTATTAAAGATTTAAAATTTTAGAAATATGAACTATTTAACGGTTAACATTTTAGTTATAAATCCTTGTTGTTGTTTAGCATTAAACGTATTTAGAAAAATCACCGGGTTTGCCATTTGTTCGTATGTTTTAACTTTCTCTCTTTTTGTATTAAGGTCAGTTGCTGAGGATTTCATTGTTTCCCCACTTCCATTTTTAGCTGATAAAACATTGAAAGTTTTATGGTATATTACTTGATTGAGTTCAAATGTTGTATATAAATTGTATTTTTTATCAGATCGTTCTAATAAAATTGTTGCTCGATCAGCTTTTATTCGATTTGTTAATTTTTCAAGATTCTTATATAATAAGATCGATGCCTTTATATCTCCAACAATTGATATAGTAAATCCACTTGAACATCTTAATATACAGATGTTTTTTTTATTATTTTTTTTAGGCATTTTTAGTGAAGTCGTAAGTTTGGATTTCTTAGAGAGCAAAGATTTTTGAACAAATTACATGATTTGTTTATTATTTGATATATTTTTTAAAATCTGAGTAGGTATGCGGAAAAGTTAACTTTGCTTAAAAAAGCCCTTTTATAGCAAACTTGATACCTTTTTGTTATTCTATCTTAGAGTGTCCAGATTATGCGATTTCAATTCGATTATATTGTTTAAACAATAGGAAAATCGTCGAAACCGCATAATCCGGACACTTCATTCTATCTATCATATAAAATATATATAACTGATAATTGTTAATATTAATTGTACTCTAGTTTTATAGTAAAATTTATATTAACTATTAGTTTTTTGGATCAACTAAACGATACAATAATAATGCCTATTGTTTCGGTACCGAATTTATAAAGTAAAATGTTTAAATATTTTAAACTTATATAAACTATTTATAATTTATAAATATTATTTATTAAGCAAAAAAATAAATTCGGTAATCTCTCTTTTAATTCACTTAATAGTATAAAGCGTTCGAATACACATACGTATGTACTAAGCCTCAAAGTGCTGCGCGATAATGCACATTTGCGAAAAATCAAATGTAAAAAAAATTCTTTTTTTTTGTATAAACAAGTTTTTTTCTTATAATTCACATAATTGCATTATTGTCTTATGCTCCACGAAGAGATTTGTGCCAGTTTGTAATGTAAAATATTTTAACATTCTATTATACTTAATTGCATTATACCACAAAGAACAAAGCACATTCGAACGTGTATGTACTAAGCCTCAAAGTGCTGCGTGATAATGCACAACACATTCAGTCTTGAGAATTTATTTTTTTATTGAAAAACAAGTTTATGGATAACAAAGAACAAAGCGTTTAATACGCGTACTAAGCTCAAAAATGCTGCGCGATAATGCATCCGGTCTTGAAAAAATGTAAAAGCTTCTTTTTTTTTCACATATACAAGTTTTCATACAATAATTAAATAAGATTGTTCACAAGAATAAGTCATACA